AGAAGAGCACAGATAGTCCATTGTGTTTATTTGTGCTTAACTACAAATAAACCTATATTATAATGAGTTATTTATGTTAAATTCTGTACTTCAAAGAGGGGTGGTAAATAAATTAAAGAAAGGAAAATACCTAGAGAACAAATGCCATGATTCTTAAATTAGGAGAGATTGAGGATTTATTTTATTATATATATATATAACAAAAGTAACTTTAATGTTAAAACTATAAACTTCTCAACTTAGCCTAACAAAACTGCCCCCCAGTGGCACAGCGGTATGTCTGTGGACTTACAATGCTAGAATCTGGGTTTCGATACCCGTGGTGGGCAGAGCTCAGACAGCCCATTGTGTAGCTTTGTGCTTAATTATAAACAAACAAACCTAACAAAACTTCTCACTAAAATAAAATGTCTAGAATTTCATAAACTCAAAAGCTGCAGTCTGTTAAACATTACACTCAGCAATCACATGGTGTTTATGTTAGCTCTACAGAAAGAGCTAATGAGCTCCCCTCTGTGATTTATTGCTTTTGACAGGAAAATTACTATTCCAGTGGGAACAAATTACTGCAATAAAACCTTTAAATTAAAAAGAAACAGATGTGAAAAAACATCATATTTTCACTTAAAATAAAAAATGCATTTTTATTCTAGCATGAAAATCACTTTTCAATTAGACTGGCTCAGTAAAGGTTTTGGAAATTCACAGACAAATCTTTAGTGAAAATAATTTATTAAAAAATCAATTTTTTTGTGTACAACAGACTTGTATTGTTTATTAAAAGTAGTAAATTCAGAAGTATTTTTTAATATTAGTATGTATAGCTTCGTAGATATGGAGTTGATCAATTTTACCACGCCAACAATAGATGGTTGATCACAAAATAGTATTGCTACATTAAAAGAATTTTTCCAAATGTACCTTTTTTTCCATAAGTAGTTGTATACCTCTTTGTTTATTAAGAGTTAAGAGTGAACAAGTGTCAGGCAATGGCTGTTTCATTTTGTGTGGTGACCAGTAAAATAATCAGCAATTGGTCACTGTGACCAGCAATGTTTTTTTCTAGTGAATTTAGAGTTAGATTTTAGTTCTAATGTTTAGTTAGTACTTGATCAAAAGTTAGTAATAACATTCTCTTATATTTTTTAGTGTAACATGAAACCAGAAGATAGTAATAAATTAATCCTGCATTTTCAGGTGTAACAAATAAACAGAAAAGTTATAATAGGTTACTTCAGTATTTTTAAGTTCAACATGAAAGCCAGAACCATTATTACAAAGGTATGTGTGTTTGTATATATAAGCTTTTTTCTTTTAATTAGCCAAAAATTCCAGTCCTATAAATTCCAATTCTCAAGATAAAATGGAATCTTCATCTGATTCAGTGGTGCCAGTACAAGAGATAAACATAGGAAAAGAACATGAAATGTCCATTGTTAGCAAACCAAACAAGAACAGCCATATGATAAATAAACAGAAGGAACCACCAAAGTCTAACATTAGGTTTGGAACTTACTTACTTCATGCATTTTAGATTGTGTGAGGCTACTTATTTTTTAATAGTATATATATATAGTAATTAAATATATGGGTGCATTGAGCTAGGGAGATTCTTCTACAGTAGGTGTCTGTGACTTGTTGGTGATAAATTCAAAAAAATTAACGAACAGCACACACTCCACTTGTTTTCAAAATAATATATATATAATCGGAACAAGTTAAACGTATCTAAAGAAATTCCTTACATTATGGAGATCATAGTTATATCAAAACACTGTATAGTTCTCTTCTTCTTGTCAAAAGTCCACTTAGGCTTATTCAGTTACTTTAGAATTAAGTTGACAAGCCAAACTATTTTTCTGTATTTATATCGCCAAACTGTCCATGTTCAGTTCACTTATGTTGTCATTGAGATACCAAGGTTGTATCCTATACCTTAAAATTTGTCTGCTCCTTTTTTGTATTTCCAAGAATCATCTGTCTTTTGTCAAAGTCCACTCAGGCAGGTTCAATTACTTTAGAACACCCATTGAGACAACTTATTCTCCTTATCTCTTCGGAATTGCTAATCTCACTCTGTCATATCAACTGTTAGGACTTTCACTCCCAGGACGATTAAGTTTTCTTTGAACGTCTCCTTCCTGTAACTTTGCTCTCTTCTGCTCTTTTTTTGTCTGCTTGCCACTATTTATATGTCCATCACTTAGGTCTTCTAGAAATCTCTATATCCTTGACATCAGTGGATTGCACGTGATATTCCATAGCCTCAACATCAATGAATTATAAACACTGTGTATGATTCTTACTGAGTTATGTAACCAACCTTGTCATAACTATCACCTTTAAAATAATTACTTTAACTCTTGATATGAAAAAACTAAACTATCATGAAATATTCATTCACAAAATAAATAAATTAATAACACCTGTACTAAACAGTCTTTTATATCTGACACTACTGTTTTTATGATTGTACAAGGATTGAAGCCCACTACTAGAGAACTTTTCCTTTGAGTATGTGTAGTCAAGTTTGACTGGTTAGAGGAATTTTGTTCTTGATTACATTATGTCATGTCTGACTGATCAGAGGAAGTTTTTCCTTGAGTATGTGATGTCACTATGCTAAGTGTATTCCTACAAATATTTTTAAGTGCTTTAATTGCTAAGTTTTATTAATGCTATTTGACACATTTTCTCTTTTATTAAGTTAAGTTAATTTTGGACAGCTACTGTACTAAGTGGAACCAAGAAACTGTTCAGAAGAGCCCTAATATATAAATTTTATGAAAACTATTTTCAAGTCTTTGGTGTAGATGTATTTTATGAAGATATTAGATCATTATACATATGTTATAGTGGGACCTCTTTCTGGCCTTAAAATAACATAAGTCTATGGAGTACATGTAGCTTTTTACTTTTATACTATTATAGATTTTTTAATAAAAAATATCAGTTTGCTAAAACCTTCTCATTTTAACTTTGTTCTCCATTAAAGTATTTTGCTTCAGCTTTTAGCATGCAATTATTTTAATAAATATTTCAGGTTATTACATAATGAAGCAGCTAACTTAGACAGATTTAGTGTTTAATTGACAGGAAATCATCTTGTATCATTGTTTTGCACAATTTACTTTTATAATTAATAAAACTTTTTACTTGAAAGTTAGTGTTAAAAGTGAGAGAGAAGAAGTGTATTTTTTATTGTCCTTGCATCATGTTTTTGTATTAAATCTTTTTACTTGAAAGTTGTACATATGAGTATACTTTGCTGAAAATACAAGCCTATTATCACTATACGTAAAATATTATTTTACTTGTTAAGAGTTTCATTGTTAATGTGTTTATTAACATCCATTTACAGAAAGAAGACCAGCCGAACTGCAAATGAATCAGGTAATGGGAATACTTTAACTTCATTGCTTATAGTAAAATTGTAATATTTATAATTCTAATCAACTGTTAACAAACTACTCTGTAGAAAAAGACTGCAAGATGTGGAAAAATTGTTACAAGAGATATTATAAAAGTTAAAACACATGTCTGTAATGACATTTTTTTTCTTTTTATTAGCTACATTTCTGACATATGCCCTTCTTCAGGCTTAGTTGTTAAAATTACAAACTAATGATTTATCTATTTTCTGGAGTGTGTTTACAGAAGTTCTTTTATTCATAATGAATTTTTATCTTTGAATTTTGTTTGTTTTTATCAAAAAACTTATAAAAGCATAGCTCAAAGCATTTTTAAGTAATATATTAAACTTAAGTTTAGTCTCTTGGGGCTTTGGCATTTTTATTTATAAAGTTTGAATTCTGATAATTTTTGGTAGGTGCTTTCTTTTAATAGACAAATTCTCATGTTCAACATTTATTATACAATATTAATATTTCTTTTTTTTACAGATGAAGAACTTCAACCACAAGTGAAAAAACATAGGCGAATTGTACAAATGTTAGACTCAGATAGTGAATCCAGTGGTATGTTGTTTAGTGCAGTGAACTATTGTAACGTTTAACCATATTGTGACTGGTGAGCACATTTCAGGCATCAAGTGCACACCTGCGTGTCAGATTTCAAAACTTAAGTAAAGAAATAGTAGTTTTGATGGTTTCAACAATTTTTAGCTCAATAATATTTTACAACTGATATTTTGTTATTTTGTAATGTTTAGTTGATATAATTCACTGAGAAAAATAAAAAATAAAACATCCCAAAGAGTAGATTTATATTTATTAATAAATAATCATCCTTTGACAATGTAGTGATTCATGTCTTGTTTCTCATATGATTTTCTTTCTCTGTTGTTAATTTTATTACAACATTTCTTTGCTGCCCTTACAAGTTGTCACCGCACGTGGTCAGAACAATACTAATGAAGCTCTGCTTTGGAGGTAGCTATAGGCACTGGTTAAATGTGATTGGACAGTGCATATTATCAACTATTTACATCAATGTAGAGTAATTAAAGCAGTTTAAAATGTAATTTGTGGTTTATTGAAATACTGATTACTCAGGGCTCCTGTAAGGGTAAACAAAGGAATATAATGAGAAGTTCAGAACACTTAGAAACAAACTTAGAGACCTAGGAATTTTTTATAGCTTGTTGGACATATTCAGATGACTCAAATTGTTATTTATTGAAAATTACTGTTAAGTTTATTCAAACAAAACGTAAAATTACTTATTATTAATTGAAAAGAAAATGATTTATTACATATTAATTGATCTCAACCAAGAATATTGTTAGCAAGAATTGAGTTCCCTAGCCTGACTGAGGTAATGGTGATGCCATTTTGACAGGGGAGGCTTTAGGTTACCAATTGATCTTTGCCAAATTTTGCTGTGTTTTTATGATTTATAGTTGGAAGTGGTGACTGCAATCAGCAAAATAAATTTGTTAATAGGTAGCAATCAAGTTAAAACTGACTGGTTATATAAAATGGCACTTTCTGATCAAAAATAATAAGAAATCTAAATTCAAAGATGAAATAACATTTTTAATGTTTTTTTGGGGGAAAAAGTATCTCACAATTTAGTTTTAGAAATTTCATAACCTAAAAAATTGATAGAAATACTCAATCAAATTATATGATTTAAAAAAAAAACCAAAGCCATATATTATTTAGTAAGCGACATCCTTCTGGTCCTGAAAAAAAAAAACGTTAAATTCTTGTGTACTTTCTAATCATAAAACATATGTGAAAATATTGTTTCATTTGATTTTTTGCTAACTTAAAATGGCTATAACCTTTAACTCTTTCAGCACGTGCTCAGTCCCTGGGACACACCTCGTAACCATTTTGTGCTTGTTATAGTTTTCATGCTATAACTTTGAAATTAGTAAGGATATGTTAACGAAATTTGGCATATTATCAGTAAACATTACAATGCTTTCAAATGCAAAATATCAATTTTTTTTATTAAGTCTTAAGGTTTGTAAAGCAATGTTTTTCTCGTGCCTTTTTATTTCTTTTATGCAAATTTCACATGTGAAAT